AGCAGGTCCTAATACTTCTTTACTGTGAGCCTGACTCTGTGTTAAGAGCTCTGTTAGCATCTCACTAACAGCTGCTGAGCTGCACACCCACAGCTCCGTGCAGTGCAGTTGTGTCGTCGAGGATCAGTTTGATCTACGTCTTCTTTAAAGATGCAGCTCTGCGCCGTTTCTTCTGTGCTCCCTCAAGTGTGAAACTTCCACGCCTCCCACTCGTCCCACACGTGACACTGCTGGACACCTCGGCGTGAAGGAGTTAGGTGTTACAACTCAAAGTTAATCCGAAGTGTAACACGTTCAGCAAGGTGACAATAACACACGGGCTCATCCACACAGTGACTGAGAATAACAGGCACGTGTTTTCATTAATGTGAAACCTGTTTGTGCGACTTCAGCCGCTCACACTTTAGGATTCGCCACACAGCAAATCACCTGAAACCACCTACAAGACTAGTTTTCTCTTAGAGAAACAGGACGTCCCTCAGGTCTGCCTCTGTCCTTTTGTTTGTTCTTCAGACACTTAAAAATGACTAAAAATGTCATTTACAACATTTTTGGTCATCTTTTGCAGTCTTTTTGAGGCTGTGGTCATTTTTCATCTTTTACGGTCCTTTTTGCTCTTTTGTCGCGTGTTCGTGCAGTCATTTTGAGCGCATTTGTGTTCATTTTCCATCTTTTGTTGTTGTTTTTTCTCGTTCCATCAAGGAAACATGGTCTCCAACGCTCCGACTCAATCAGTCCAGCACAATGCTGTGAAAAAATAAAGTTCCATGTAACCAGTTTATCTGTTCTAAAAGTGACATCATGGGTCACACCAACGCACACCAAGATAGATCAGCGATGTTGCTTCTTGCTAAATATTTCACCTATAAGGACATGCGAGATAGCGATTCTTAAATGCCAAGTTCAACCTCACCATCTAAAATGAACCCAAAATAATCAGGTTCCTTTCATCTCTCGCCTTTTGTGAGCGAGACGTGATATAGGAAGTGCTTTCCTGCACTTTGCAGCCTTCTTACATAAATGTGATGTAGGTTATGCTTCTGAGCACAGCCGTGGCAGGAAGGTCTGTCGAAGCAAGGAATGAAAAGTGAGTCACAACCCTCCCTCCTGCTACTCAGCGAGAGACAGAAAAAGCATTTAACAGATGAGTGAAAGCCTAAGCGACTGCAACTGTCTACACTTGTGTACGCATGAGAAGGATTTTAGAAAAATGGCAACCACTTTAATTTAATTCAGGTGAAACCCTCTTGGCAGCGGCGCTCAGTTTCACAGAGCTTTTTGTCCTCACAATCATCTCGGTTATTTGCAGAGCGTGGGGATGTTGTTGGAGACGCAGAGTCGACGCTCTGTGGAAGCAGCCCTGCTGGAAGAGCGCAGAGCAAATGGGTCAGCATTGTTCGTCGGCCCACATACCGGCTCCGCTTGACGCTGGGCACAAAAACTCCACTGAGGACGTGCACATTCACGCTCCCGGCCTGAATAAAACCCTGTTTGCTCAGATTTCAGCCTCTACGGGGGCAAAGAATAGGAGACGGCTCGCAGGCGCACCGCTGCTGCATGAGGATTTCTGAATAAACGCCACATGTGACATAATTCAAAGCAGCATTAACGTCACACGGTAGATTTCCTGAAACGAAGCAGGCTAACAGACATTTTGTGATAAATGACACCACTTGGTATTTGCAGTATGGTAAGAAAATATGCGGTGCTGAGTGAAGGGCTGTTTGTTGCTGAGCGATTTACAGGATAACATATGAGACATCAGCCAATAAGCTTCTAATATGTCATATTAAAACAGACGACACAGCATGCAGTCAGGAGGTTTGTCAGAGCAGGACAGAAATGTCCAAAATGAACTGACTTCTAGTTTGCAGTTTTAAAAGATTCAATCAGAAAATTATTGTTTTTTAATGCTTTTGAAAATAAAACTAAAAAGATTGCATGAAAAGGTGGAGGCTTAACTGATACCTGCAGGTTGTTTTTGCATTCTCAGCTGCAATAGTTTCACGACTAGTGTTCACAAAGCACGAGGGTCACAGACAATGACAATGACCCCTCAGTGTGGTTATTTTTAATCAGTATTCTGACGCATATCCAGACCCACCCAAGCAGAGATGCCCAGACCTCCTCCAGTTCATCTGGGGGACACCGAGGTGTTCCCAAGCCAGCTGAGGGACACCTGTCCAGCGTGTCCCGGGTCTCCTCCCAGCTACAGGTGCCCACAACACCTCACCTACGAGGCCTCCAGGAGGCATCTTAGTCTGATGCCTCTGCTTGATCCCTTCGATATGATAACGATACATGGACTGAACCCATTTACGCACATTCATATAGGCACTTCTTTTCTCCATCTAGCTGCTTACTGTCTAACATTCAGACTCCAATCAATGCATCAAGGGCAACTCGGGGTTCAGTTTCTTGCCCAGGGATACTTTGCCACGTACACTAGAGCAACCAAGGAATTGGCTCACCAATCCTGCGATTAGTAGATGGCCTGCTCTACCTGCTGAGCCACAGCCAGCCCATTATGTAGCACCTGAAAGGCCGAGCTCCTCACCCCATCTCTAAGGCTGAGCCCAGTACAGAGTGTACTACACATTTATAAAAAACGTTAGTTTTTCATTTTCAAATATTTTTTGATTTCAAGTGTTGTTTAAATGTCTTTGTTATCTTTAAATTAATATATACAAGATATTGGATAATATGGTAAATGGCCTGTATTTATATAGCGCTTTACTGGTCCCTAAGCACCCCAAAGCGCTTTACACATCCAGTCATCCACCCATCCACACACACATTCACACACTGGTGATGGCAGCTACGTTGTAGCCACAGCCAGCCTGGGGCGCACTGACAGAGGCACCCCAGGGTTGTTGGAACTTTACAATTTGCAAAGTCAAAAACCGAAGAAATCCCCCCCACACACCTCCCAGCTACTAAATTATAGTTTATACAATTACTTCAAACTGCAAACATTTTCTGAAGTTATCAGCAGATTTTAAAGAAACATCTGCTATGGCTTTACATCCAAAATACCAACAAAATATCAATTTAAATTAAAATAATTCAAGTGGGGCCAATATAGCAGCGCTCTCAGTATCTGCATTTATAACAGCTGATAAATGAAAATGTAAAAAGTAAAGAAGAGATGAAAGAAACACCCTTCAGCCATGTTGTAAGTGTTGATGTTACATCTTTTGCCCACCAGGGGGCACTCTGCAACTTCCCTGTCAGGAACAGAGGGAAGTTTATGTGACAGTAAAATTATTTTTTTAACTGCATTGATCAAAATATCTTAATTACTGGTAAATATCTGCACATAGCAAACGTTGGGAAAATGTGTTCGCGATTTGTGTCTTGCAAAGAAAAGAAAAGGACAACGTATCATTTCATCATCATACATCAGTACCGTTCTTACAAATCTTGTATTTGAGGCTACAATGAATAAATAATGATAATTACAAAAAAAATATGGGATGTATTTTTGTGTAATCCCACTTTGAACCACAAGATGGCACTGGGTATTTAACCTGGCACACCGTTAAGGACATATTCATATTGGTGCCCTGGAAAGGGGCAACTCTGATGTTAACAGTAACGTGGTAACTTTGAATTAACCGCAATAATTGCTTTTGCAGAGGCTGGTTACACAAATAACTACGGAGTCGTTATCAAAAGAGCTGCACGTTATTTTTCTATTAATCAGCTAGTTTCATGATACCTCATCCTGTAAATGAAAACACTTGCATATAACCCCTGATTCCTCGCACATATCTCAGGGTGTCACGGACTTGCTGTGTTACGCCCATGAGATAATGCAAAAAGGCGACCAACAATCAGTGTAAGGCAAAAGTTGAGCCGTGACGTATATATATATATATCCATTTTCCCTGAAAGCTCTACGATTTCTCGAATGTGATATTTTGCATGAATTCAGAAAGTCATCAACTATATCGGAAAGTCTTTTCTGAAATAATAACAGCTGCCAAGGTGTTGCACACTGCAGCAAGCAGTTCTGCAAACTCCTCCAGCGTGGGTGTGATAGGCAGACGTCCAAAGGGCCTTTAACAAGGTGTGCTGATAAAACACGCTTTGAGGAAAATGTCATGAGATGATAACAACAGAAGGGGGAAATCACAGGGTTTAATTGTTCTGCTAACAATTACAACTGATCCCTACTGACGCGGGTCCTGTTGCAGTTAATGCTGTAATTACAGAGTGTGTGATTCCTCCAGGCTCTTCAGCTCCTAAAATAATGGCCATGTTGTTTCTTTTGAAAGGGGGAAGCTGCTGGATTTCCTCCTTTATGTCTACTGGTTAAACAATCCCATTAGATCCCATCCAGGTCTGTTTTCATTGGCTCAATCAGCTGATTACCAGGACCTATAGGCCTGCACATCCGCAGAGGAAAGAGCCTCCATGTGATCACATGACCAAAGAGACGTCACCCCGTCAGAGCATCCTCTTTCTCTTGGCCTCCCTCTGACAGGCAGGAAGCAGCAGCGCTTTGTTTGGTCAGGTTGCTGGAGTAGACCTTCAGCTGGTTTCATGTTACACACCTAAAGCCTAAACCCCCCTCCCCCACAGATGGCTTTTATTCCAACACATTAAAGGAAGAAGATCTTAGCTGTTAATATTTAAAACCCAAACGCAACAACCCCTCCCGGAGTCAAAGGACGAGCTCAAAGCGAGAGAGAGGCACCTGGGAAGCCGGCAGGGTCCCGGGAAGGTGAGGAGAAGTGATGGAGGCGTGGCGGGGAGGGGTTCCAGATTAGGAGCAGGAGGGAAAGCAGTGACAGGCTGCCTTCTTCCAACTGCGTCAACAGCAGACTGTGCTTAATCTGGGTGCGCGTTCAGACACGAAAAGGCAAACAGCAAAACTGGAATGTGAAACGCAGCATATTATGAGGAAAGTGTGTGTGTGTGTGTGTGTGTGTGTGTGTGTGTGTGTGTGTGTGTGTGTGTGTGTGTGTGTGTGTGAGAGCCGGAAGGTTCCTTACCGTGGCCGAAGTCAGGCTGCTGTCCGCGAGTGTGAGGTGATGCGGCTCCCATCTCCGCAGGAACTTGGAGGTGAGGATCTTGCTGAGGAAGGTGCGGGGGTGTTTGACCACGCACACCTGGATGTCCCCCTCATGGAGCAGCTTGTATCGCATCCCGCTGCTGCTGCAGTGATGCAGGGACCTCTTGCACGGCCCCGCGCCCAGCTTCGTGTTGTTATTGCTCTCCGACATGTCCGCCAGCAGAGGCTTGTTCTCCTCGCACTGGTAGAACTGATTGTTGTGCGGCTCGCTGCCTTCAACGCCGCCGCCGCTGGTGAAATCCATAGTTGTCTGTAATCCAACAGTTTCTGCTCTCAAGGAGGGGAGAGTGAGCGCGTCGCCACGACACGACAATCCGACATGAATATGTAAAAAACCAATATTAATAATAATAATTTTTTTTTTTTTAAATGAGGTCGTTCAGATCGAGCTTGGGGGTGGGGGGTGAGGGGGGTACCTACCTACCAACCAACTGCTACAACACGACCTCGGTTACTGTAGACAGGCGCAGAAACGCCACCGATCAGTGTCTCAAGGCAGGAGATCCAGATGTGGGGAGATTTTCGTGACACACTGCAAATAATCCACCATTTTCCTCCCCGCACAATGCCCCATAAATTGTCTCCACGGTGCGCGTCTCGCCTCCCCCTCCACCACCGCCACCAACGAGCTACTCAATATGTTAGGGCCATGGCCTTATCCATTCCGTCCGCCCTGGCTCCAAACGCAATAATCCACAGCGAGAAACGTGCGGGATTCACGAGGAAACGGGACGAGTATCCAATGGCGGCGACCGTGGGCTCCTCCGTGGGATTTTGTGGTCATTACAAGCTAACTGGCACGGTTTCCTTTTATTCAGTCTTTTCCCCCTATCTTGGTGTAAAGCAGCCAGCACTCTCCGGCAGCGCCGAGCCGATTGGTCCTCGCTCGTTCATGTGACACCGGACTGACGTCAATGGGGAGGTGAGCGGATGAGCCGTGTGTCTTTTGCGCTTGAGTGTCTGCCGAGGGCGCACGCTCGAGCTTCGCTCACCCTCCTCCCCCGTGCGCGCAGAAAAATGGAGGAGGGCGCAGCGACTTCAGGCGAATCCTCATTTTCTTTTCCCAGTTCTGAGGAAATGATGCAGCGTCGTCACTTTCCAGGGAAGGAAAAGACGATCGCTGGCGGGCTGATGCGTGCAGGCGACGGGCAGTTTACACAGCTCCGAGCTGCTGATCGAAATCTGCCCCCACAGCCAGATTAGATGCATCTGCCATTTGCAAAGGCAGAGGTTCGTTTTCTGTGGCTCTCAGAGACAACTTTGTGAACAGAAATGGGGAACAGAAAGGAAAGGGATTGATTTTTTTTTTAAAGTAATATACATTATGTACATAAAATGAAGAAATTTGTATTTACAGGCCTATATGTTGGATATCATTTGTTATAAATTCTGAAACCAGATCGGACAGAAAAGTAAATGATCCCTTTAAGTGTATAGACTCAGCAGTTATGATAATATGACAGCAGCTGGGAATGATTATTTGAAAGCAGAACATAAAGCCTGAGAGCTTCACTGCATTATATTCCAGTATGTGTTGAACCTGAATCTTTTGCAAAAATGAATCAGTATCATGAAGAGGCTGCTATAAAAGCTGCAACCACCAAACACCTGCAGAGGGTCAGATAAGTCCTGAAGAGTCAGCTGCATGGGAAGAACAAGATCTGGGCAATGAACACCTAAGCCCTGCCGGTGATCAGGTACCCTGCTGGGATAATAAGCTGACCAAAGGAGGAGATAGGAGCCACTGACTCTGACTGACATGGGGGCTTTCTCCCCAGATCCAGCACCCTGAAACTGTGTGCTACGTGGAAGAAAGGTGGCTGAGGACTAGTGAGTGTCAGAGCCGCTGTCCAGGAGGAAACAACAGATCCATGAGTAGCCTACATCTGGAAGATGGCCACAACTGATAGTGTGCTTAGTGAATACCTCAGGCAGCAACAACCTGAGAAAGGGGAGCACAGCATATCTGATAGAAGAAGTGACTAAAGTGGCTAATAATTGAGAAATCCTACCAGTGGCTGAACAAAGTTGAACTGAAAGACAGCACAGAGGGACTAATCATGGCAGCACAGGAACAAGCTCTGAGCACAAGCTCCATAACATAAAATAAGTATACATAACAGCAGGGTGCAAGATGCTAGCAGGCAGGGCATACATGGAACGCCATGACATGGAAGTCATTCTCAAGTGATCGAGCGGAGAAACTGGTGATGGCTAACCAACCGTACATAGTGGTGGTAGACAAGCAGAGAAAGATGGCCGTAGTGATAGATGTAGCGATACCAGATGACAGCAACATCAGAAAGAAGGGAAACGAGAAGCTGGAGAAGATGTGGAGGGTGAAAGTAACAGTGGTCCCAGTGGTAATCGGAGCGCGGGAACAACATCCGAGATCTCTGTTCTAGGAACAGCTAAGATACTGCGCAGGACCCTCAAGCTCCCAGGCCTCCGGTAGGACCCGAGCTTGACGGATAAAAGACTGCCTGCAGGGGCAAGAGGGGAATTTATATATGTCAGCAGGTGCAAGCTGAAGGCTTTCCTGTGGCCCTAAGAGTCCCTGAACCGAAACCTCATCTAAAATCTGTGCATAGCCTCAAAAGCATGCAAGACAGACGAAGACAGACGAAGAGTCTCATCAGCAAGAATGTGACAAGCCACCACAAAGGAGAACTGAAAAACCCAACTGCTACAAAAAGCATGTACATTTACATAGGTGCCATAACATCTGTCACATGTGCTGTGTGACTGGCATTTGGACGTTTGGACGTCATCCTGTGCTCGTGGAGTCTTATTCTGACAATTTGGTCAGAAACCTGCATCCAAGTAGCCCACTCAAGGTCATTTTATAGGGCTGTGGCAGCGGTCTCGCTGCTCCTCCTCTCCCAAAGGAGCAGATACCAGTCCTGCTGCTGGGTTGATGGCCTTCTACGGCCCATCTCCCATTATCTCTCCCAGACTCTTGAGGCTTTGGAAGCCTGTTGCCTCCACTAAAAAAAAAGTATCCATAACTCGAAATTTTGACTTAGCGCTGCCAATCAGTAATCTACGTGAATTATGTCATTTCCTTGTTACCTGGAAGCTAAAGCCCTCAGCTACAAATGTTACAACTAACCTACCAGGTCATGAATGCACAAATTGCTGAGTATTTTCAGCATGGCTTCACAAATGATGAAATCCTTCTGTTATTAGCTGAATCACATGGCGGAAAATAACTTGAAATTTCCATATGAGGCTGTTCTGCAAGACATAGCAAACTTTGCATGATCTTATAAAAGTCTACTGGCTACGATATGACAAAGACACAGACAAAAAGGTAAAACTAGAGAAACATGAGTGAGGTGGGACAAGATGAGAGCAATGGTACGTGGAGAGCACTTGCAAAACTATCACTCGTTGGATGTTGTTTTATTGTTGCTTCTTCAGTGCACATATGTGTCTGTGTCGGTTCTCAGTCATCCAATCATCCACAGTCCAGTTATTGTTGTTTATCAAGTTTTCCCTTAGTTTTTTTGAGAAGCCTAGAATAAATAGACTTCTCAAAAAGGACCTTAGCATAACTAACACAGACTGTCTAAAATGCTAGAACTGCTGTTTAACAGTCAAAAGATATACCTTAAGGTATCATCCTAAAAACACTTTGCAAATGCCAGCCAATAGGGTTTAAGTAGCATTGTGCCTATTTCAGCTTCCCAAAGCTGCATTTTCTTTCCCGGGAGCTTTGTGTTCGGAATTTCCACATAATTTTTAAGAACAAAAAACATTTATTGCTATTTACTGTTTACATTAATATTTATTTGAAATTATAAATAATGATTTTTATCATTCAAAAATGTATTTAGTCATGAAAATATATATTTTTGCCCCAGCAGAATGACTAACCAACAGGATTATGTCCACATCCGAAGGAATGTAATGAATGCTGCAGCCGTCAGAGGATATTGTATATCTTTGGTTTTACTCTCGTCCATCAAAAAAGCCACCAGAGCAGCTTTGGACCCCGACAGGTTTATTTTGGATCGCAAAGATCAACTTGCCACAACTTGCTAATGTCCGTCATAGATGTCTCATCCAAGCGGATGTTGAACAATACGAGCCCCGGAGTCATGCCTCCCCAGCCACTGCTGACAGTCACCGTGACTCATGTTTCCACTTACTCACATACACAGGTGGGTCATAAAAAATGCTTCCCAGGTAGATGCTTTACATTAAGGCAATGGCTGATTTTCCTAACCCTCTGTGCATTTCAGCTCTGTTACCTGTTTAGTCACATTCATGGCAGAACTTCTACCCACAGAGGCCGTTTATCTGTGCATCATACAAATCAGCAGAAATACAAACATGTATTTGAATGACAAATGCACAGGTGATGAGGGGGTGGCGATATTTATCCATCATGGGTAATCTCCCTTTGATTAAGTGTGATCTCTGTGGTTTTTCTTAAGTATTACATTCAACATCCTGAACATATCACTGATGAAAATGATGAGAAAAAAGGCATAAAAAATAGAGAGTGCCAAGCCCGATTGTGTTCTGTGTACTTAATGACATCATGAGGCTCCAAAGTAAGAGTAACTACGCATTTGTTACTGGACAGTGACAGAACTCAGTTTCAGCATTGAGAAATATAAATAGATGGAATTTAAAGAGAAAACATCAGCCTATCGAGATGCAATATGATGCAAACAGACACGTAAAAAACATAAAGTTAAAATAACAACAAAGACAAAAGAGAAAACGACCCCACAGAGATGCAATGTGACCACAAAGAGACACAAAGATACTAAAAGGAGCTACAAAAAAACCACAAAGAGACAGAAAGTTATTACAGACAAAGCGACACCAGTCGCTTCTGTGTTTTTACAAACATGTAAGTGTCAGTGAGAGCAAAGGTTCAGAGAGCGTTTAAACTCTGCCGACATAAGTTTGATTTTACTGAACAAGCTATAGGCTGGGCAAGCCTGTACCTGGAAAAAAAAGATGTTAGATGTCCTAAAAATGTGGGAAATAACCATTTTTTCATCCCTCAAACACTTCAAAGGGGGATCACATCTTCATATATACACAGGGAACAAAAAAAAGGTTTGGGCATGAGAAAACCTTATTAGGATTGGAACATGCACTCCACAGATACTTTATTATGAACACATTGCTAGTGCCGGGCTGGACGCCCTTCTTCACAGCACAGATTCAAGGTGGTGAATCCTCAGAGATTCTGGTCCGTGTTGACATCACACAGTTGCTGTAGATTTGTCGGCTGCACATCCACGACAGGAATCTCACGTTCCACCACATCCCAAAGGCGCTGCGCTAGTTTGAGATCTGGTGACTGTGGAGGCCATTGGAGTGCAGAGAACTGGTTCAAGAAACCAGTTTTGAGATGCTTTGAGCTTTGTGACGCTGTGTGCTGGACGCACCCATCAGAAGATGGGTACAGTGTGGTCATAAAGGGACTGACACGGTGAGCAATAATACTCAGGCATGCTGCTGCATTTAAATTATGCTCATTTATTTCTGAGGGGCCCAAAGCATGCCAAAAAAATATCCCCACTAATCTGAACCACAGTTGTGCTGTGTGTGGGTTATCTTGTCTGGGCCTCCGTACCTGTGTAAAATGTAGGGCAGCTCACATCTATAATGTGGGCATACTGTGGGTACGCCACGGGCCCTCACTGTGAGCCTCTCTCTGTTTAGTGTGGGCTGTCCACACTAAACAGATTTCACACCTGTACTGGGCCATAGTGGGGTCTGTTCATACCCCGAGTGGGCATTTTGCAGGGTTTTCACCCAGAATTATCGCTTACTGTATATTTCTCAGATTATTCTCAGGTAACTCTACACATGATTAATTAGATCAGCAGTTTCTGAACCACTCAGCCCATCTAGCACCAACAATCATGTCAGGTTAAGAGTCACTGAGATTACTTCTCTATTCTGATAGGAGGTTTAATCTTGAAATACGAGTTGTTGCCATGTGATTGGCTGATTAGATAATTGCATGGTGTAC